CCCTCCCCCCCCTGTTTTTTTTTCTCCTCCCATTCACTGTCAGGGAGGGCCGCCTCGGAAGGGCCGATTCCTCAAGGCACGGCGCCGGCAGAGACTGGCAGCGGCAGCAGCTACAACAGTGAGTGGATTGCAAATCACCAGGGGCTTAGGTGGCACACAGGGGCAGCTTCCCCCCGCCGCCCCCGAGCCCAGCTCACCGGGGACGGTCCCCAGGTGGTTTTTGAGCCTCTCCGGAGCATCGGGTGCCCGCTGCTGGTCCAGCCTGGCTCAGCCCGGTGACCTGCGCTGGGGAGGATTGGGGGCTGCAGCAGGTCAGGGCTGAGCTGTGCGAGGCTGGGGTGTGTGTGTGTGTGTGAGCTGGGGAAGCCTGGCCAGGCTTCAGCTGGAATTTGTGTCTGGAGGAGCAGTGTGAGAGGATGAGTGATGTGAGAAACCCGAGGTGGGTGCGAGGCACGGCGGAAAGACCCAGAGATGCTCAGGCTCCTCTTATCCTAAAGCTAAAGGAGCCCGAGGATGTTCCCAGCCTTGGAGCAGCCCACGTCTGTGGTAAATTCCGAGTTCCCAAAACAGAGGGATGTGGAGTCCAGGCTGCCTGGAGAGATGGCACGACCTCACTGCCGACCACACGGAGGACTTTTATTGGGGAGAAGATAAAAAGCTGCTCAATTCATGCCAGGCAGTGCTGGAAAATTGTAATCCCAGCTCTGGTTGCGTTCCAGTGCTGAGGATGGCCCTGGGCACGCTGTGCTGGGACCCCCAAGTTGGCATTGCTGGGACTGAGCATTCAGCCTAGAGCTGGGTGGGGCAGCAAGGAGCACCAAGGGTGATCTGCGAATGCATCCAGGTCCCAGCTCCAGAGCATCCTCTCCGAGCCTCTCCCAACCGGGGTGGCGCTCGGGGGGCTCCCTTGAAGCGGCTCAAGCAGGACCCTTAGGAAGAGGAGGAGGACTGTGGCAGGGCAGGGCAGCCCGTGTAGGGTGAGGGATGTTGCGGAGGAGCCTCCCCGGGGCAATCTCTGCAGCGTGAGTGGCTTTGCTGTGTGTGCCCACGGTCCAGTCTGTATCACCACACCGTGGGGTGTCTTACTGCTGATAGAAAGCGCTGCTTAGTTTTGCCCTGCTGTCTCGAAGCTGTCACCAAACTGTACCAACGTGATATTTTTTTTTTCCTGCCACTTCTCAAGGTTCTGCAGGTAGGTGGTCCTGGGAGCAGCGTCCTCAGTGCTCCTGCCTCACCCCCCCTGCTCTGGGTGGACAGTGCAGAGCTCTCGTTCCCTGTTGGACTAAATGTAGAGATGTTTGCCCTCCCCACTAAAAGCTGCTTTTGGAGGAGGAGGAGAAAAAAAAATAAAAATAAATAAAATAAAAGGTGTTTTCAAAGAATCCCGACATCCCCAAAGGGCAGGGATTGCACACTGGGTGCTGCTGGGAGGCTGCTCACCGATGTGTGGCCGCTTTTTCCACTCAGCATTTCTGCTCCCCGAGGCATGGCTGGGTGCTGAACGGAGCTGTGTAAGTGCTGAGCCCCTCCCGGTGCCCACTGCGGGCAGCACTGATGGTGCCAGGGGTGGCAGCGCTCCTCTCCCAGCCCCGTGGGGCTCAGGAAGCTCCAGTGCCCCTGCCCAGCCTTGGTGCAGCTGCACTGAGCCCCCCACCCTCCTGCATCTGCTGCATGAAGCCAAACCTGCAGAGCCGTGCCTGGCAAACCTTCAGGAGCTGCAAGGGCAAAGAAGCGAAAGCACCCGGGCACTGAGGAGGGCAGAGGCCCTGCAGGGGTGTGGGTTGTCCGGTTTGCTCCAGGGTAGCCCGGTGGGAGAGCTTGAAGCTGGCATTGGGAATGAAATGCTGGCCCCGGAGAGTGAAGGGAGGGGGAGAGAGAATCCGCTCTGCATCCTCACGGGGCATCTTCTCTTTCATTTGCACGCAGTGTTGAAAAGAGCCGCAATAAAGAAGAGCAAAAACGACCTGATTCATGCAGAAGAAGGTGAGGACCATTTCACAGACATTTGCTCCGTTGGTGAGTACTGGCTTCGCATCCCCCGAGGTTTCGATCTCCACCCGAACCTGCCCATGCCATGTTTCCTCCTCTGGAGCGGCTCCTTTGCTCCAGAAGTTTCCTGAAGGAGAATGAATTTCCACTCCTGCTGCAGCAGCACTCGACTTCCCAAAGCGAAAAGCTCCGTGGCTTCACCCTCTCCCTGCGCTGCCTGGCTCAGCTCTTGCATGCTGCACCCTGGAGAGAGCCCTGCAAAGCCTTGGGACAATCCCTGCTGGGCTGGCCATCCCAGGATTCTGCTTGGAACGTGCTCATTCATGCTGGTGAACCCCAAATCTGCCAAACAGCGCTGTTGGAGGAGGAGAGGAAGTGGCCACTGATGCCCAGCTGAGGTGTCACAGCCTGTGCTGTGGGAATGGCCACTGGGAAGTGCTGGGCAGTGGCCTCAATTCTCTCTTTCGTGTCTTAGAGGAAGATCTCAAAGCAATTTTAAAGCCAGATCTGGAGATCCAGCGCAGAGCAGGGCATCCTGCGCTGTGGGGCTCTGCTGGGGTGAATTTGGGATCCTCAGGATGAGGATGCAGCTCCCAGAGCTGATTCCCCACTGGGATCTGCCCAGGTGGGGAGGCAGAGGCAGCTCTGGGCTGCCAGGGGAGGCTCTGGGCACTCAGCACCCACCTCAGGGAGCTGCTGGAGCCAAAACCCTCTGAGCCGTGGGAGAGGCATCTCCTGCAGCTCTGCAGTCGGGTGCTGATCCCCAGGCCTGGTGTCAGAGTCAGTTTTGCTGCTGAAGCAGCAGATGTTCTCATTATCTTCCAAAGAAATGTCTTGGCAGCGCGGTCCCCACGAAGCAGCAGATCCTGGAAGCACAGGAGGAGCAGCACAAACAGCACATTTGAGAATCCCTGTCCGTGGCTGCTTGCACAGCATGAGTGCCTCAGTTGCCCTTTGGAAAGCTGGCATTGATGTTTTCAGGGATCACAGCTGCTGCTGGAATCTTTGTTTTTCCCCCCCTTTAAAGGAAGACCTGGTTGCAGAAAGTGAGGGTGGCTTGGCATGTTCCTGACAGCAGCACTGAGCTGCCACAGTGCCCTGGGCTGCAGGGCTCGTGGTGAAACCGCTGCCACTTCCAGGAGAGGTTTGGTGCTGGAAAAGGGCAAAAATGCAGCAGCCTGTGTGCATTTTTGGTTTGGTTTGTTGGTGTTTTTTCCTCGGATCCCTGCATGGATAACAAGGAATGGTGGTTTTTGGAATATTTGCTCATGGTTGCAATAATTACGAGATCTTTGCCTCCAAATCCAAGTCCCTGCAGGCTCTGGGCAGCCAGTGCCATTCCAACAGATCTTGGAGCTCAGCATTTCAGGTGGCAGTGGATGACGGAGCATCTGGGCCCGGGAATAATCCCAGGCAGAGCTGGGAAGTGTCTCGGGAGCATATGGCAGGGAAAATAACAGCAGTGCTTTCCACCCTCTGCGAGTGCTCCAGCCACTTGGGAAAAGTGGTTCTGGTTTGGATTCATGGAAGGAGGCAGAAAAGGAGGAATGGATTAAGCAGCTACTTCTGCAAAGAGGCTGAGATGCAGAGCATAAACAATCAGATCACGTGGGAAATTACACATAGAGGAGCTGTTTTGGAGAAAAGGGGGCTTTGGATGATTTTCTGTGATGTGTTCAGATGGGAGCAGAAGGAGTGAGGAAGAACTAACAAGGAATCCCTGGGTGCCACGTGAAGATGCAGCTCGGGGTGGATGAGGCTTTGCCAGGTCTCTCTCTGGCCACTGGCTGAAGATGTTGCACTTCAATCCAAACTCAAGCACCTTGATGAGCTTTATAACTGCAGTTTAATTTCTGTAGTGGTAAATGCTTCCCAGGTCGTTGTCTGCAGTTGTTTTTAGTTTTCATCCTTTTCTTTCCACTCCCACTGGCTTCACACCCTCTGTGCTGTACCAGGCACAGGGCCTTGATTCCCAGACACCAAGCCTGGAGAAGGGGATGTTTTCCATGTTAGAGCAGTTTAAATATCAGTGCTTTGCTTTTCTGGAAGATCAGCAGAGAGGAATGAGAGGGCAGCACTCTTCCTTTGCTGCCCTGGGAGTACAGAGGGGCTCGGATATCTGAGAGCTCTGTAGCTGCTAAGGAGTGCTGTGATATGAAACAGCCTCAATCCCAACCTGTGGCTCTCAGAGCAGAGGAGGAGCACTGTGATTTCATCTCTTCCAAACTGCCAAAGGCAGGATTTTCAAGCCAACAGAAGAACACACTGATTCTTTCAGCAAGGAGTTTGTTCAAAGCCTGGCCAAGGCCAGCTCTGCTTTTGGAGTGCTGGTGGGTGGCCAGAAAAGTGAAACAGAGCAGAGAGCTCACTTTCCGTGGGGGAACATCACACTTGTGTGGGGCTGTGAGGCTTGGAGAACCCTCTGCTCTCACATCTGGAGGCCTCATCCTTTCTCTGGCTGCTGTGGTTGATGCTGCAGGACGAGGCTGGGTGAGATCCCCACCCTTTCTGAGTGCTGACATGACCACACTCTGAGGTTTGGCTGCTGAAGCCAGAACTCTTTGTTCATGTCACCGAGCCCAGGAGAGCCTCCTGCTCCAGGACAGGATGAGAACATGTCCTGCTCATCCTGCTGGGATGCTCCATCCCAGGATGGGGAAGGGCAGTAATGATATCTCATCATAAAATCCTGGCACAGGCAGTGGCCAGCCTGGCACCATCACCATTTCCCCCTCCTGCAGCATCTCCTGCTGCAGAGGAGGCCCAAGGGGTCCCTGCGTTTACTCCTCATTCCTGATTTCTCCTGCCTCAGCACCGGCCAGAGATTGCCTTTCCATCTGAGCACTGCCTCTACCCCAGGGGGAGAGCTGACATCAGGAATCATTTCTTCCATCAGCTTCCTATTGTTGGAACACTTGACTCGTTGCCAGGGTTTCGGCCCGGAGTGGAAATGGAGCAGAATTGAGACAAATGAGTGGCTGCACCCAAAATCCGATGCACGGAGGCAGACTGAGCCCTCTGCTGAGGAAATACCTGAGGCTGGAGAGTGAAATAAGGAGGATTCACTCAATTCCATGGTAATTGGTCCCTGGAGCAGGGGAAACAGGGACCAGCTCTCCTGTTGCACCCACCCAGCTCCACGAGGATGTGCTGCACACCGTGGGCAGAAATGCCCTGTGCCCGCTGCTCTCTGTCCCTGTCACCCAGGAAAAAGTGATGAGTTGAACTGGGACAATCAGGATTGCTGCAAAGGTTTGGAAGCCCAGTTTAGATATTGGAGCTGGGCGTTGATCCATGAAGTTTTAAAATCCCAGCCTTCATCCCTCATTACAAGCGAGATGCCCTTGCTCAGCCCATTCTCAGCATTCCCAGCTTGCTGCTGAGCTGTTTCTGGTGCTTGGAGAGGTTCTGTGTGCCCAGGAACTCCCCTCTCCAGCCTTTTCCCTGCTGGGATGGGCTGTGGTGACTCTTCTTTCTGTCCCAGGGTCTCCCTTTGCCCGTGCCAGTTTGAAGAGCGGCAAGAACGAGAGCTCGTCCTACTTCAGGAGGAAAGAGAAGATGTTCCGCTTCTTCATCCGGCGCATGGTGAAGGCTCAGAGCTTCTACTGGGTCGTGCTCTGCGTGGTGGCCCTCAACACCCTCTGTGTGGCCATGGTGCACTATGACCAGCCTGAGAAGCTGACCACTGCTCTCTGTGAGTACCGGCCGGTCCCGACCCCGCCGCGGTCACATCCCGGCTCTCAGCTTCCCCCAGTCGTGGAGTCACAGGATGGTTTGGGTGGGAAGGGAGCTTAAAGCTCAGCTTATTCTACCCCCTGTGCAGGGATACCTTTCACTAGATCCTGTCCAGCCTGGGCTTGGACACTTCCAGGGATCACAGCTTCTTTGGGAATTCCACTGCAGTCCCTCCCCATCCTTCCCAGTATCCCATCTATCCCTGCCCTCTGGCACTGGGAAGCCATTCCCCTTGTCCTGGCACTCCAGACCTTTGTAAATCCTCTCTTTACCTTTCCTGTCAGCCCCTTCAGGTCCTGGAAGGCCACATTTAGGTCATCTCAAAGCTTCCCTTCTCCAGGCTGAACAATCCCAGTTCTCTTTCAAATCACTTTTCAAATGATTGAATCAAACCATTCAGAAAAAAAATCCACCAGGGTATTAGTTTGAGAGAGGAATGTTATCCTAAAGGATATTTATTGCAAAGTTGAGATTCAGTTGGGTGTAAAGACTGGAGCAGGGCAGGAGGAATTGTCCTGGAATGGGGCAGGAGGAGGAATTGTCCTGGAATAGGGCAGGAGGAATTGTCCTGGAATGGGGCAGGAGGAGGAATTGTCCTGGAATGGGGCAGGAGGAGGAATTGTCCTGGAATGGGGCAGGAGGAATTGTCCTGGAATGGAGCAGGAGGAATTGTCCTGGAGCAGGACAGGAAGGTTTGTCCTGGAGCAGGACACACAAATGGAAGGGGAATGGTGCTGGGAAAAGCAGGATTCTCTGGCTAACCTGTGTCCAGAGAACTGCAAATTTGTGTCACTGATCTGCACCCATGGGTGATTCCTGCTCAGGAATGGGTGTCACGGTGCCCTCCTGTGACATCAAGTGACAGAAATAACCCCAGAGGGAAGATTATCCTATATTTGTGGAAAAGTTTCCCTTTCTAGCTGGTTCCTGTGGTCCCCTGGTTTAGCTCAGAGAGTCTGGATGTGCTTTTGAAACATGAGTTTTGGGTTTTTAAATTGCTCTGAATAATAAGAAATGGTGTCTCCCTGAGGGCACAGACTCACTCACAAAGCTTGGTCTTAAAAAAATGTGGAAGGTGAGGGATGGAGCTTTTTAGATTTATTTTAAATAATTTTTTAAAATTTATAAAATTAATAAAATTTTAAAATAAATTAAAATAAATTAAAAGGCTGGAAAACTCCTAGAAATTCCTCATGCTGATAGTGAAAATTTTTCCTTCTGAAGGGATGGGATGAGGCTTGTTCCTGTAAGACAAAGCCATTCCTTGGGTCATTGCTGACCCTATTAAAAATCTGTTGTTCAGCACTTAACCAGATGAAAATTTAAGTAAAACTTCTGAAAAAAGCAAACAGAAGACTGGGGGAAAAAAACCTCAAATATTTCCAACAGTCTAACAATGTTGGCTTAGATCTTTAAAGATCCTTATCTACCTAATTTGCCTTGATTTCTCTATAAATTAGATACTTAAATATTTCTTGCCTCAGATCCTCAGGATTTACCTTATTACAAGGAAGGCAAACTTTTGAAGTTTTTTTTTTTTATTAGACCTAAGAGGTCAGGAATACTGACTGCTCTGACATCAAAAGCTCCTTATTAATACTTGTTGAAATATTTAATGCTCCAGGTAATGAAGCTCTAATGAGAGATGTATAATAAGGACAGAAATTTCTTTCAAGTCTGGTTGTTTTTTTTTGCAAGATTTCAACTGAAAAGAGAGACAGCCCATACAGAGAAGTCACTCTTGCTTATTCATTACCTCAATTTACCAGAGGAAATAATAAGCTAGATTGGCAGAGCAATTCAAAGTTTGAGGATTAGGATTTCCTCTGGAATTAGGAATAAAGGTTTAGGAATCAAACCCCACACTTGAAGCCTTTCAACTCAAAATAAAGGTTGCAGATTTACAAAACTCGGTTTTGGGAGCACCTCATGCAGTGACTTTTCCAAGGGAACGTGAAGAAATCCACGAGCCAGAGACTCTTTAATATTCCAGTGAGGGCTGGTTCTGCCTCTTGGAATTAAAAATTCACTTCCAGCTGGGAAACTTATCTGAGACAGAGGCCACAAATCAGGCTTCCAACCTATCCCAGATGAAGACAAAATATAGGGAATAGGTTGGGATTAGGGATGGATCAGTTTTTCAGGAACTCTGCATTTGTCCACAACGCCCAGGAACATCAATTACTGTCAGAAGCACTTGGGCAGCAAGTTTGAATTTTTTGGTGTAGAGTCCCACTGCATTCCACCTGTCTTAGTGTGATTTTTGAACAAAGAGCTTTGGAGAAGTGTCCTGAAAAGCCCTACAAGTTCAACCTCTTAAATTCCAAGTACCCCATACTTCCAAACCCTCCCCAGTTCCAGGATGAGGAGCTGTGGGACTGCATTCCTGGCTGTGCACTGGGGATGACCTAAACCTTTCTACCCCTTTCCTTGGGGATGGCAGAGTTCTCACGGCCCCATATTTCTACAAATCCCCAATTTAACACTGATTTCAGGGAATATTTGGTAGCTTGAGGACTTTTCTGGTTGTTTTGGTGTTGGTGATGGCCGGGCTGGACGTGTCCCCTCACTCCTGTCGGGATAACTTTGCAGCACACACTCCTGGGAAGGAGCCCAGCTGCAGGGATGCTCCTGGACACTCAGTTCTGCCCAAGATTTGTGCACAAATCCATTGGATAGAGGCAGATTGAGGGATTTGAAACAGCTCCTGGAAATACCTGGCAAAATCCTTTAACTGGGAGAGTGACAGAGTTTAGAAATGGCTTAAAAGTTAATCCACGATGAGGGAACAGCTGCAGAGGGGCAGGACCTGGCTGGTGTGATGCAGAGCAGGAGAGAAATCAAAAATTCCATTGATGCTGTTTCAGGGAAGGTGCTTAGGAATGAACTGAGGAGGTTTTTTGTGAACTGTAGCAGGAGAGAAAAGCCTGTGAGGATCTGAAAAAAACTGTGAGGATCAGCTAAACCCTGCAACTCTACCCAGGCACCTCTAATTCAATTATACCTGTCCCTCTGGGGAGAAGTTTAATTACATTACAAATTAATTTTACTTAAAGAACGGTTGGTAAAAGCCTACGGGTCTGCATTGATTTATTTTTTCCCTTGGTCTTTTCTTTTAACTTTTCTGTTTGGAATTGTTCTGATTAGCTTTCTCTGCTTGATGCTCCATATCTCTACAACTGCTTCGGAAAAAGGACTGCAGGAGCTCTGGAGAGAGGCTTGGGATTTCTTCAGCCTTATTGAAAGAACTGATGAGGAATTCTTTGAATTCTTGTGGTGTGATTAATAACAGGCTGCACTTCGTGCCCCTGTAATTATCCTCAAATTCAATCAGAGATTCTCCTTCTCTGTATGGAAAGGACTCCAGGGCCAAATAGGATTTCTCTCATGCTGCAGATGGACTCTGCTCACCAAAGCCCAGAACTTTGGTTAAATAAGCTGCAGTTGCCTATAAATAATGTATTTCGTGATTTTATTATCATCTTTTCATCTTCATTTCCACCACTGCCAATATTCTGAGAAAGATTTCTGTCAGAAACCAGCTCTGCAATGGCATCCCTGAGGTCTGGTAGCAGCAAGGATGAATTTTCAACTGAGGGCCAGTTTTAGTCACTAAAGTTTCACTGAGGTTTCACTTGGGGGCTGCCCTTCCCAAAGTTCCAGCAAATCCCACAGGGATCCTTCCCAGCTCCTTGATCTGTGTAGGTCTAAACCCCAAACCCCCAACGTCCCCTTTCTGATAAATCCAGTATTTGAACACAACTTTTGAGCCATTATGGCCTGAGAGCACCTTCCCTGCCCAGAACCTCGTGTTTGGGGCAATTTGGTCTTTTTTTGGTGCTGTTGTTGCCTTTGAAGTCAAGACCCAGCTCCCTCTGGATATCAAGATGCAGCATTTGCAAGGAAAAGGCTTTCTGGAGCAGATTTATTTCTGTCTGCTGAGCATTTCACATCTGCCTGGGCAAAAAGGGGGAAGTTTGGCCCTGCTGAGTTTCTCCTGCTGGGTTTAATGGGAGAGTGTTGAGAGGGAAGTGTCAGGCTCAGCACCTCCTTCTGATGGGGCAGAAATGGAATTAATCCATGAGGGATTGACAAAAAGGAGCTGGTGACTCTAATTAGGAACCTAATTCAAAGGTGTGGGGTGAAGGGATGCTTGCACTGCCTTTGCCAACAGCACAGCTTGGAAATGAAATAAAGAGTGTTTGTATCCAACTTTCCCTCCTTAAATCACATCACAAAATGCTTTGGAGTAAGGCAAATGAAATTAGGTGAGGTTTGAATACCAGGAGGCCCAAACAACAAAATTACATTTTCAATTATTTAGGCAGGGACTTCTCAGAAGAAATCGTGTGTTGGATGCAGCAGCTCCTCCATGGAGCCAGTTCCTTCTGGCTGAGGAGTTCAGGGTCTGAATTTCACTTCCCTCCCTCCCAGCCTCACTGGGCTGTGATTTGTGGCATCTGGTACCTGCTGAGACACAGCCTTTGCTGCCAGTTCTGGGCTCTGCCCTGGAATTCATCACCTGGGAAAGGCCAAGGGTGGCTCCTGCAAGAGCAGCAGAAGGAAGCTGTTTTTTAGTTGCTCTGAGTTTTAAGCATTTCCTGGCTTTATATTTTAATTTTCCAAATATTTTTTTATTTTTTTTTGCCACTTTCTTTTTTTTTGTGTGTGATATTCTGGATTTGCGTGTGTGTTTGCAGGATGTGTCACTGCAGGTGACACTTTGCTCTTGTGATACCTGGGGTGTGTTCATCCTCCTGCTGGGGCGGTGACTGAACATTAACCCTTGCTTCCTTCCTCCTTTTTTCGCTCCTTTAGGGTGATGGCAATTGTCTTGGCAAAGTGCCCCGAGGTCTGTCGGTGCAGACTTGCAGTTACAAACCAGTACTGAGGATTTTTGTGGTTGTGAGGGGGAATTTGGGGGCACACCCGAGGTGTGGCTGGGGCAGGGAAGAGAGGATGAGAATGTCCCTGCTGGAGACACTCCCTGTGGATGTGCAAGGCTGGGAATGGAAATCCAGGAATGAGGGAAGGATCCTCATTCCATCCTCTGTCTCTCCCCTGAAGCTGCAGATTGCAGGAGGTCAGAGGATGGTGAAATCCTGGAATATCCTGGGCAGGAAGGGACCCCCAGGACCACAGTTTGTCACTGTCTCCTCTTTATCATTCCTGGAATCATAAAACTGGAATTACAGGAGACTTTCTTGTAGCATCTGTACTGCTGCAGCCACTGAGAGCCTCCTGTGCTGCACTGGACAAGGTGATTAATCCCCACCTTTGGAGGTTTGATTCTTTTCATCATCTTTTTTCCAGACAAAGACAGGTTTGCCTTCTGCTGTTTGGTTTTTCTCGGTAGTGTAGGTGGATTTTGCCTTTTTTTCTTGTTGTTGTTTGTTTGTTTTGAACATTTCACTCCTGCTGTTGCTTATTGGCCTCCAGATCCGAACTTAAAATGCCGAAGGCAGTGTTTGCTGAAGCTTCAGGTCCTCAAAACTCAGTGTGGAAATTGAAGCCTCCAGCTCTGCTCCTTCTGCCCTTTGTTTCATCATCGGTGATAAATTTTCCCATCAAAAACTTCCCAGCCTGTGATATGTGAAGGAAGAGGAAACAGAAGGGGCTCTTCCATAATTACAGGGCTATAAAGGCATAATAAAAATAAATGTGGTAACAGGAGACACAACACCTCTGAATACGAGCCCTCAGAGTCAGCGCTTCAAAGGTATTTTTATCATCAGAGGATGGTACAGAAACTTACACCCCACACCCAAAAGTTTCCATCTCTTGCAAGTACAGGAGTCCCAGAACATCTTTGCAATTAAATTTGACCTTTAAAAATATTAGATCCAGGGTTTTCCTTTGAAATTCCTTTACGGAGACCACGAGGATATCATTTAATGCTCCTGTCCCCACCCAGGAGTTCAGGTGAACATTTCTTTCACAGCTCATGGACGCACAGAAAGGATCGTGACAAACCCTGCCTGGGCCCTGCACAGCGATTTTCTTCTGCCTGCAGGCCCTTGGTGCTGTGGAAAAAGGAACAAAAGGTTCCCCACATGAAGATCTGGTGGATTAATTGAATCTCTTCTCCCGATTCCAGATTTCGCAGAGTTTGTTTTCCTGGGGCTGTTCCTCACTGAGATGTCCTTGAAGATGTATGGGCTGGGGCCAAGGAATTATTTCCACTCTTCCTTCAACTGCTTTGACTTTGGGGTGAGTAACATCCAGCAGGATGGAAAAATCATGGAATGGTTTGGGGTGGAAGTGACCTTAAAATCATCTTAATTCCAACCCCCTGCCAGGGCAGGGACACCTCCCACCATCCCAGGGTGATCCAAGCCCTGTCCAGCCTGGCCTTGGGCACTGCCAGGGATCCAGGGGCAGCCCCAGCTGCTCTGGGAATTCCATCCCCACCCTCCCAGGGAAGAATTCCTTCCCAGTACCCCATCCATCCCTGCCCTGTGGCAGTGGGAACCCTCTGTGCTGTCCCTCGGTGTCCTTGAAAGCCCTCCCTGTGCCAGGCAGGTGTCTCTGCTGTCATCCAGGTGCTGTTTGAGTATGGAAATCCAGGGGAAGTGGTGCTGGGAGTGTCTCCTGTGGGGAGCAGTCCCTGTATGAATTAGCAGTGAAATGCAGGAAGTTTCCCTCGTTATCCTCCTTTTGGAAGGGATGTGACAGCTGGGGGATTTCATTTCCTGCAGCCCCGGGCTGTTGGCAGCATCAGCACCCCTGAGTGCGCTGATTGCCGAGGGATTCTGTCCCTCCCATTCCAATCAGCT